TCACGACACGCGTCTCTCTCTCTCTCTCTCTCTCTCTCTCTCTCTCTCTCGTTTTCATTCGCCGATACTGGCGGAAATTAGCTGCAATTAGCCGAGCGAATGGCGTCAATGCGCACGATATGATCCCGTAAATACCACTTGACAGGAAAATCCGTTAGTTTCCTCGCTTTGCGGCAAACCCGGCATCTGTTTTAAATGTAAATTATCGCGTCGTAAAAGTCTATCATCTGTATGACGTGCAGAATCGTGATGTTGCTCAGCACGACATAATCTCGTAATCTCGGCATAAATTCTAAAACGCGCAGAGAAATTTCATCGTCTATATTTATTTCTTATAGTAGTAATTTAAAAGTAAATTACAAGAGATGTCATATCGGTTGTTTCAAAAGTGACGGTTAATCGCTCGGAAAATGATTGGGAATCCAAAAGCGAGAAAAAAAGTTGATATGAATATAGAAACGCATTATTTTCGAGTTGTCGCCATTTTTTTATGTTGAAATTTCAAATTGCTTTGCTTTCGAATTTTTTTTTTGTGAAAATTGAAAGAAGAGATGGTCTTGACGAGTTTTATAATTAAAGTTGAATAAAAATTGTGGGCTGTTTTACCACTCAGAATGCATCTCATGAAGGTACAATTACGCTTAGTATCTCTTAATAAAGATCAGGATTCCACAGTTGTGCATCTTGAATAGTGCTAAAGCAACCCGCAAATTTATTTGACTTTAATTATGTTATGAAACGCGTAAAGACCATCTTTTCTTTTAATTTTGATAAAAAAATTTGAAAGCAAAATAATTTCAAATTTTGACATAAAAACGGCGAAGACAACGCATTTTCGAATTTATTCATATCAACTTTCTTTCTTGCTTTTCGATCCCCGATTCATTGACTTACAAAATTACTCGATATAAATTTTTGAAGTTAAATTACATTACAAAAATATCACAATTCAAAAGAAAATGGAAATTTAAATGAACTTTTATCAAATTACAGATAAATTACAGATAAAAAGTCCGATCGAAATGGACGTGTAAGTCACATGTTCTAGTTGGAGTTGCGGTCTGTCGATGCTAATTAATAGCGATTAATGAGTGCGGTCCGACGAATTCCACTGGGAAAAATGTAAGGATCGTACCGAACCGACGTAGCGGCTTCGGTGATTAGAACTCGGAACGAGAGCAACAAGTGGTGCACGATGTCTCTCATTATCGGCCAGTTATGGATAGACTCGCTTCTTCTTTGTTTTATGGAGTGTTTGAAAATTTCACAGCGGCTTATCGCTCGATCTGACTATTAATAATCGACGACAGACACGAGCGTGGAGGTCTTGCATTATTCACGCATTATCATCACGGTTTTTCTCCAATAAAATCAACAATTAAATTGGAATAGCATCTGGATATTTTAAGAGCTAATCTACGTCCAACTTGAAATAGAAAACATTAAAATACAAATTCTGACTACTAAAAGAAAAAAAAACAGATGCTTTATATAGAGATAGTGTGTGAATTATCTGGCAGATTGAATTAATGGGAAATAGAATTACAAATTCTCTTTTCTGTTTTTGATCTAGGCTTCGCGAATTGAACAAATGTACAAAAATGTTGAAGCCAAAAATGCCGCTTCTTTCGAGCGTCCCGTGATAAACTCGACATCTAAAATTTCAGGGAAGTCAAGTTGGAGGTTTAATCAAAAAATTAGCACGTTGATTTACTCGGGCATATATTCCATATCTCACGTCGCATCTCGACATGCTGCGCTTTCCCACTTGCACGTTCTATCTCGGAGCGCCAGAACGTGACCGTGGTTTTTTCGTAAGTTCTTCTTCCTCGTTGCCTTCGTCTTCTTTCCGTTCGTAGGAGCTTCAGACGTGCAGTCGAAAAAAAAAGATTTTTAGTAATATTCATATTTCTTTTCTAAAATCTCACGCGCTACATATTGTCATCTATTTTACCTATCGCATCGTTTCCGTCGTGACAAGCTCACTTCTCTTCAGAAGAGTTTAAGTTTACAAAAATTGTTTCGTTGTTTTTCTTTAAGCCTTCGATCTACATTTCGAGAGAGTGAGTTGCCTTCTTTTTCTAAAACAGGCAAGATCGGCCTCGAGAAAATAATTCCCCCGATTATCCCGCTCGGTTCCCGCGGGGAACGCAGCGGATTCACACGTTGAAAGAGACGCAATCTTTCAAGGGTAGGTTGCAACGCGTTGTAACCCGCGATAATTCCGTTAATGCACACATGTCGTGCAGCTCTAACGAGTTATAATCAGTCGAGCACCGGCTGAGTACAGTTTAATGGTTTATTCCCCGCATTAGGCACCCTTCTAGTCCCTCTTTCCCACCTTGGTTTATATCCACGTCCTCGTCTCTCAACTGTTCCATATCCCTCACCCCCCCCCTTCTCTCTCTCTCTCTCTCTCTCTCTCTCTCTCTCTCTCTCTCTCTCTCTCTCTCTCTCTCTCTTCCTCTCGCTCTCTCTCTCTCTCTCTCTCTCTCTCTCTCTCTCTCTGTTTCTATCTCTCTCTCTCTTTCTCTCTATCTATCTCCGGACTTCCACAATAATGCGACCTCCATCGGCGGGATAGTACGACGAACGCGCAATTTGCGGCCGAGCTCTGGCTTTCTCGAATAATTGATGCAATTTCCGGGTTGCGAGCGAGCTGCGAATGACCCCGAGAATTTGGATTTTAGGTAGATTCACGAGATGTTCACGTCACAAAGTGAACATTAATTTCCGCATACTCCCCGAACGGTATTAAATCGCGAACGGTGAGTGTGGACTTTTCTATAAAGCCGGACTCATACGCACGCTTGTTGAATAATTGCTAATTTTCAGAAAAATCTCATTCATGGCAAACCGATGTCCATGGGAGAACGTTGATAATGCGCGAATCGTCGATAACGTTCGTTCAGACGGATCACGGAGTAATAGTGAGTCGTTGTAGGTTTTTTTCGTTTCTTTATCGGAGAATCGGAGAATCGAATAAAATACACTAAAAAATAGGATACGATGCGTATCGCGGGGAGAGGGATTTGTTTAAGTGACATAATTCGTTTGATTTACACAGGCCGTACCCTATTCGCGTGCTTCGCAAATATCATTTATCGTACCGTAATTGCCATCCGTAACAATCATTCACGAGATTATGCTAAAAACACCAGTCGGACGATAGTTTAACGCCGATAACGTACACGACACCCAGCAAACGCGTGCGCTTGTCACAACTGGACGGAGAGACGGGGCGAGGAGGGGGGGGGGAGGGAGGGGAGTATATTCTTGTTCCTACATACCTATCGTTTAAGTGCCGCTGACTTCGCGGAGCTAATTCTATTAGCCGTTCCTCTCGGTGAGCCTATTCGCGTTCTACGCTCGCGTTCCTGCGGGATTAATTTCGCGGCTTCGTTCGCCAACCATGCCGTAAGTTTCCGCGTCGTCTGGCCCTGCCCGGACATGATCGACGACCCTCTTCCTAACCGCGGCGCTAACTTTTTCGACGAGTCCGATGTTTCCCATCTGCTAATGGCGTATTCCTTTAATCGCATTTACTCTAACTCTCCAGCTTGCCGACTCCGATTTACCGGCTGCTTCGCTTTAACTTTGGAAACATCGCGATGAGGCTTTATTTTATTTTTGTTGTATAGTGTTTCTATAATTAACTTAATTAAATCCATCCGTACGTGTTCGTGTAGCTCATAAAAATTTTTGTTAAACGTGAACGGATGATTTTTTTAAATAAGATATTTCTTATAAAATCCATGATTTTATAATTTTTATAATTCTATAATTAACTTAAAAATAAAATATCATCCATACGTGTTCGTGTAATTTATGTTAAATTTTTGTTAAACGCAAAACAGACGATTTTTTTTAAATAAGATATTATTTTATAAAATCCATGATTTATAAAATCGACTTATAAATGGACTTTAAATAATATAATATATCTTATTTTTAAAAAATATAATATAATATTTTATATAATATTATATATTATATAGATAATATAATATCTTATTTTTAAAAATCTATATGCAGAGCATACAGCATTACATTTTGTTAGGAATAAAAATATATTTTGGCTAAGTACGGTCATTTGGAGAATTTTTTCGTCATTTCGTTTTGGCTTTTTAATCAGTGATTTATCGATATGTAACAGACTTCATTGACGGATTTTATTACGTTCATTCATTTAATATTTTGATACGTGCATGGACATCAGTCGATGTAAATTTACGTTTTCGATGCACGTTTATTATCACTAAAAGAATTGAAATATTCTGGACACGGAAACAGTGGATTAATCCACATTATGAATATTTGATCGCATCGTGCAGAATACGGCAGAATGAACTTTAAAAGGCTTCCCCGAATGCAAATTAATGCATGCCGTAAAAAAGGCCGGCAGACGCGGCTTTTGCGATTCGCGATCCATAATTAAGTTGTAGATTAGTTTTAGCAGATTAAACGAGAATAAACCGTAAACTAAAGCCATATGCGAATTATATCGAATCCTATTAGCAAACTAAAATTTACATTTCGAATATATCTAATGGCGAACTATAGTTCAAAGTAAAATAACTGAAAACATAAAAATAATATCTGAAAATTCTTGTTTTTATTTTAAATACATCTGCCCTTTGAAAATAACTGCGAATTCCCTGGAAATAATTTCAACAAGCTTTCTTATTTTTCTCTGAAATATAGCGCCCGTCTTGCGCGCGCTAAAAAAGATATCCTCTATATTTAAATATTAACGAAAGGAGACGGAAAAGGAATTATATTATTTTCTGAAAATAATTCGATAATTAATATCTTTCGTAAAATATTTCTGACGATGCGTCGTACAGTTATTATAACTAATATTATAATAATAATCAGAGCAATCGTGTTTAAACTTGTTTTACGATAGATATATTTCTCAAGTGGCTGGCTTAGAAGCTGACAAGCTTTCTCTCCCAAATTTCAGGTCACCAGTGGCTGAAAACGAATCTCGACGTGGTTCCCGAGTCGGGCTGGTCCGTCGACCCATTCGGCCATGGCGGCACCATACCCTACTTCCTCAGAGCTTCCGGCGCATCCGGCACGGTGATCCAGAGGATACATTACGCGTGGAAGCAGTGGTTCGCCAAGAAGCAATACGGCGACTTCGTCTGGCGGCAGCCGTGGGATCGCGACGGCACCGCCGACATGCTCACCCACAATCAGCCGTTCGACATTTACAACATCAAACACTCGTGCGGCCCACATCCGCACGTCTGCCTCAACTTTGATTTTCGCAAGATACGTGGCGAGTACACCGAGTACTCGGTCCGCGCGGTCGAGATCACGCCCAACAACGTCAAGCAGATGGCCGAGCTGTTGTTGGAGCAATACGCGAGAACCGGCTCCTTGTTCACTCACAACGTCGTGCTGATGCCACTCGGCGATGACTTTAGGTTGGGAAAATCTTCCTCAAATTTCATACATTTGCACTTTTCATTTTTTACACTCCTCCCTCCGTTTTATAACCTAATCAAATTTTCCGTTGTCCCCCCCTCCCCAAAAAAGGTATATTCAACGGAAAGTGTTTCTTTATTTCAAAATTTGTTCCACTTCATTTTTTCTTTTGTAACTTAATAAAATTTTTCTGTTCGAGAAGAAAATATATTCAATACACGTGTTTTTTTTACTCCAAAATTTCTAAAGTATTAATTCCTTCTATTAATAAAAAATCACGTTGTTATCACGTGTTTCAGATACGACCATGCAATCGAGTGGGATCAGCAATATACTAACTATAAAATCTTGATGGACTACATAAACAGTCGTAAAGACGAGTATAATGCCGAGGTGGTGTTCGGCACGCCGAAAGATTACTTCCGCGAGATACAAAAACGCGTGAACAAATTCCCGTCGCTGACCGGCGACTTCTTCGTGTATTCAGATATCTTTAGCGAGGGTAGACCGGCCTACTGGAGTGGCTACTTTACTACCAGGCCCTACATGAAGATTCTGGATCGTGAGCTCGAGGCGAATCTCAGATCCGCCGAAATCCTCTACACGATCGCGTTAAATCTCGCCAAACAGTCCGGCAAGGATATAAAAGTTTACGAAACGTATTTCGAGAAGCTGGTGAAGGCGAGGCGTAATCTGGGTCTGTTCCAGCATCACGACGCGATTACCGGGACTTCAAAGTCCTTCGTCATGAAGGATTACGCGCTGAAACTCTTCGAGTCGATCTCGGACACCACCGATCTGCAGGGCTTCGCCATTCAGTCGCTCGCGGCCACCGTCAACGGCAAATCTAATTCCGCTTACGTGTTGGCCGAGTCGGATAGGGACAGCTATGAAAAGCTGCCGAAGAAGATACCGATCGGCGTGAACGGCCACGAGACCAAGAAGATCGTTCTGTTCAATCCACTGGCGCAGCCCAGGCAGGAAGTGATCAGCCTCAAGGTCACGTCGTACAAGATCAGAGTCCTGGATCCCCAGAAAAATCCCATTCCCTACCAGATCGCGCCGGTGATGAACGCCACGAGTATCACACATGACGTGTACGTGCTGCTTTTCGTGGCCGAATTGAAGCCTCTGTCGATCGCCACGTACCACCTGCGGCAGGTCGACAAGGTTCCGGCGGAGGCCATCTCGACGGTGTACTGCAGCCGTTGCGGCAAGGACAATGTCTTCCCTATCAAGCCCATGCAGGTGGGCGACGTGCAGCTCGAGAACCAGCGGATGAAGTTGCTGTTCGACGGGCAAACGGGTTTTCTGAAGCGCGTGACGAAGAAGTCCACTGGCAGGATCATGCAGTGCGCCGTGCAGTTCGCCGCGTATCCCTCGGCGCAGTTCCACAGCGGCGCCTATCTCTTCATGCCCGATCCGAACCTTCGGGACACCGACAAGGACGTTCTGGAGGCGTACACGCCGCACCAGAAGATCTACATCGTCAGCGGTAACCTGAGCTCTCGCCTCACCGTCGAGTACGGCAAACTACTGACGCATCACGTGGCCATCTATCATCGCGACGGCGGCCTTGGCGAGGCCATCTACGTGCGCAACATCGTGGACTTTGAGACCCCACCGAAGAATCGCGAGACGGAAATGTTCATGCGCCTGCAGACCGACATCTCGAACGGCGACCCGCCCGAATTCTATACCGACTTGAACGGCCATCAGATGATCAAGCGTACCAAGATCGAGCGCATCGGCATCGAGGGTAATTACTTCCCCATCACGACCATGGCTTACATCGAGGACTCGAACCATCGGTTGACGCTCTTGGTGAACCACTGTCAAGGTGCGGCCAGCTACCAGCCCGGATGGTTGGAGGTGATGCTGGACCGCAGGACTCTGTACGATGATTCGCGAGGCATGGGCGAGGGTCTGTTGGACAATCGGCGAACCGTCATTAAACATTGGTTGCTACTCGAGGATATCAGCGGTGAGAAAGACAGGTACTCGCGACCGTCGTTGTTCGCCAATCACCTCAGCAACACCCTCAACTATCCGGTGAACATCTTCATGGTGGACGGCAGCGAGCAGGAGGTCACGATGGCGCCGGAAGTGCGACTGTTGAGTCAGAGCTTCCCGTGCGACCTCCATCTGCTCAATCTGCGTACCAATCACGATCAGAAACTGCCGCACTTCCCGGTGAACAGCGCGCTCATGGTGCTCTTCCGCCAGGGCTACAGCTGTTCCGTGGGCGTTGACGTGGCGATGAAACACTGCCCACTCACGGAGAGACTCCCGCAGGGAATCGCGTTCTACAAACTCGACAACGTCAACGTTACAAAGACGTCGTTGACCGGCACGAAGTCGGGCGTCCGGCTGAAAGACGGTCTCCAGGAGATCGGTCTGCAACCGATGCAGGTCGAGACGTATAATGTAAACTTCGTGCAATGATCCTAAGCCCTGAGCCGATCGATTTTTTTAGTGTTGATCGGTTGTTAGCGAAATTTCAAGAATATATTACAGGCGTCTTGCTCCTTCCGAATGACACTGCCGTATGTTAATCGTATTGAATACTACCTCTTTAACTCTCTATGTAACGTACGACGTTGTTGACGGTGAAGAACGGAGCTTTGTGGAAGCGCGATTACGAAAGCGAAGGTAATTAATTTCTCGCGGGATAGTATGGGATGAAAAAAGTGACAAATAACATTGACCAATATCTGGGACGATTAAAGTAAACAGTTGACTACGGTTTAATTAAAATAAATTTTTTTTCCCGATGGAAAACATTTTAAAGAATTATTAATCAATTTTTTTATCTTACGAAAGAAAGATTTTTATTTCATTTCTTTTTAATTTCTCAATAATTTATTCTATTAGCCTAGAAACCACATTCTTGTACTAGTGTACTTTTTACTTTGCGGTTCAATTTCTTCCGGTAATTGTTTCAACTCGAAGGAATGGAGAGAAAGTTTCAGATCAAAGATTTATAAATTTTATGATCCTGTAAATTATTGAACTAAGCTTTAACGTAAGAACTTTCCGCGCTATTTCTCGTCGAGGACAAGTTTAGGTGAATTCCGTGAGACGATGCTTCGCGTTGCGAGAAACGTTTGAAGAATGACAGATGCCGGGAGAGAACGTGCGTGTAAATACTTCGATCGATGCAACATAATTAATTGCTAATTGTGACAAACGTGCAACGCGTACGTGCACCATTGTACATATTGTTCCTGTACGATGTATCCTTGCGTTTTATTATCGAATGAGAGATACGAGAGGGAGAGAGAAGGGAAAGAAGCGAGGGAAGATGTACACACGCAGATATATAAATACATTATTTACTCCAGAGTCTGAGAGATCTAATTAATATATGTATATTCGCTAGAACGAAATCTTCGGAATCAGGTTTTTCTCAGTCTATTTTACTATTTCATCTAGCTTTCAATATCAAATTCTTCCATAATCTAATAATATCGTTTTCACTGAATAATCACTTTTGTATTTATTAAATCTTTTTATTATTAACTTTTCATCATATAATTCCTGTTTTTAAACTTTCGGAAAAAATGAAGATTAGGGGACCATTCTGTGCCTTGACATATGTTGTCAAGATCATGACTCTGAGTGATCTTCAAAAAATTTTATCCGTCGATCGTTCTTCATTAAAAAGTTATTATAACAAAATGTTTTTTGAGAAATATACCAGTTTTGGCGAAATTAATAATGTTAGGGCATTTATTTAGAATACGGTCTTCACCTTCGATTTTGATAAAATTGGGCTCGATTGGTGCGGTTTCACTCAAAATAAAAGAATCTCAGAAAAATGCGGCGATCTGTCTCGCGAACCGAGATATTAAGCGTTAAAGTTGACCACTTTTTTGGTTAGGAAATCTGACAATATATGTCAAAGTCAGGGTTATTGTTGTTGAAATAGTCCTCTAATCTTTATTTTTACCAAATTTTCTTATTCCATTTTTTTAAGTTTTTGCATTTACGATCGTTATTACTCGCGAAAAATAAAAGCATTTCATTTTACATTTTTTTTTTACAAATGTAGATCTTTTTTAAATTGCTTTTTTTTTTTAAGTGATTTCACCGGAGATATAAAAGGGGCCAGAGAAAGGCCTATATAAAGGATAAAAGAATTAAAAATGTCATATAGCGGTTTCTCTTCGTATGGCAATTATCGTGGACAAACAGATTGACAAATGATCAAACAAGTTTCTTTTATCAAACTTATGTAGAGATATATATGTAAATATTGTATCGCATATGTATATATTACATATCAGATCGTAATTTGCCCTAGATAATTACCGATACCGTAGACAACTTTTGTGATAGCGAAACGGTGTAAAGAAAATCTTATATTACATCTATTTTCATATGTCAGATATTTTGCTATCGACCCTTCCTCTCTCCCTCTTCGCGGCTGTCGACAGTAAGTGTCTTCTTGTAGAGTCTATTACGATTCCCGGGGATCCTCTCCCGTGGTGTCGTGTATACAATCCGAAAAATGTAATAAAGTATAATGCGTGTAAAATTAATTCGCGTGCCAGACGACGAAGGATTTATCTTGTGAGGGATAACGCGGGAAGAGCAGGCCTCCTCTGGACAAGACACGAAGTTCACGCTGAACTGTAAATAATTAAATAATCTGACAAACACTAAGTAATTAATACGAGCAGTGTTAATTACTTACCAAACATTAACGAGCGTCACCAATTGCGGAATCCGTGCCTCTTTTTTTCTTTTTTTCAATTTCGGAGACGTTCGTACTCGTACACCGAAGATCCCGTCAGATGGGTAACGAAGCATGGGTACTTCCAAAGTGTTCCGCATAATTTTATTATGATGAACGAACGATAAGTATTGAGACTCGCGAATGATAGATTACATCGCAGAAAGATTACGATCTATATCGCGGTGTTTCTCAGGATCTTCCACTTTCATGAAGAGTCTCGAAGCGTCCTCTTTCGCGGCTGTACGTACCGTCGGTCCGATTTGTACATATTAGATTAATTAATGGAAAGTTGTGCAGCTTCCGCGGGCCGTCGCATTGTCCCGGGGAAGAGAAACAAGAGAGGGGCGGAAATTAATTTCTCCGAGGGCGTAAGAAATATTGTAAAATGTGACTTTTGTATAAAAAAAAAAAAAAAGAAAAGAAAGCCGGCAAGAAGATTCTTGTCGCTCGCTAATTAAAGTAGCGTTTTTTAATTCACGTGAAAAAGTATATTATCTACGTAAATTTTCTTATTTAGGATGGATCGTGCTTATAAAAACGTGATACGAATTTGTAAACTTTCTAGCGGTTTTATATTCCTGTGCGTTATTCCTTAGATATTTTATCGGCATGAATATAAATTTATTCTAATATATAAACCGTCAGATTGTTGTAGATTTCCAAAAGATTTATTCATGTTCACGGTAAATCGCTTCGGTTATTTATAATCAATTTATTTTATCGTCACGCTATCGCTAAGAGATGTAACAGGTTGCGATTAATTGCTTTTTTTAGCGGCGTACTATTATATTTATCGCGCTAAATGTTATATTTTTATTGGAGGTAATCTATTTTTGATCGTTGCCGGTGTCAAACCGTTTGATTTCAGTCATAAATTCTCTATTTTTTAACGCGAATTGTTTCGAGACGAATCCGAAACGGGTATCGATTTGGTAATAATGCCAAAAATACTTTGCGTTACAAAATTAGAAACAAAAAAAGAATCAGAGACGGCGGAAATGTCCGTCGCGATACGACTCGACTGTCGTCGGGTAATTAAGCTTCGTAAGCATCGGTTATTAAAATTTTTTCGATGGACTTATGGCTCCGATAAATTTCACGGTTCACGGCGCGAACGAGCATTTATACGACGTCGTGTAAATAGAGGATCGTCGATGAAATCATTAAACCGATAGATCGTAAAGAGTAATGGAAAATAAAGGACGAGCGGATGGTGCGCGGGTAAAGTGTAATAAGTTATCTCTTCTTCATGGAGAAACCGTGCTCTTGTCATTTTTAATCATCGTCGTCGCGCATTATGGCGTTCGACCTTTGGCCGAAAAAAAGCGCAGGGACGAGCGTATTTTTACAAAAATAAATCCCATCTATCCGCCTCGCCTCGGTTTAACGGTGATATACACAACTAACCTCGATTTAATAATCTAATTCTGTCTCTTAATTTTATCTTTCGGACACGTTTGAGCTTCGGGTGTTTTAATTGGTGGTTTTAATTGAATTAATAAAAGCATATTATTTTATTCTGATTAGATTATTATTATTTTAACATGCGCACTAACGACACTGCCCCCGATACATATCCAGTCGTCCACTCCGTTCAAACCTAGACGTATATAACGAATCAAAAGAGAGCCTCAAACAGCGAAATCTCATCGTGGATGAGAGTCGCGGGTTCGACGTCGTTCGAGCGTTTTCCACGAGATTGTATCACGTTCAAGAGCACCGTTCAAGACCAGCCAATGTCTACGCCGAGATTTCTGCGAGTGTCGACGAAAAATGCCCGAAACTGCCGAGCGAAACTTCGGTCGCTCGGCGTCACAATGACTGTCCCTGTAACGATACTGTAACATACTGTATGTTTTTGTGCCGTCGTTAGAGAGAAAGAAGTGTTCTATATCGCAAAAAGAATAAAGTTATTATATTACATGTTCACACGCGCCCGTCGCTCGGACGATTCGCAAAGGACGGCAAGCCGAACTTGAAAATCGCGCGAGCGCGGAACGCGCGGAATCGCGACGATTACATACGATATTCCTTATGTTACAATGTAATATTATATTTATTAAATAAAACTAGTAACTGACGTATTTTGATCAGCCGCGTTGTTCTCTCTGTGTGTGTCTCTCTCTGGCGCTCCGCTTCGATAAAAGAAACGGGCAAAAGTGATCGAGGAGGCTGTTGAAAGACAAATAAAATCTAATCTTTTTCATGCATTTTTCATGCCTTCATGCCTTTTTTGAACTTGTAACTTTGAGATCACTCGGGAGGAATCACTATTTTTCTTCGAATAATTTAGCATAATAACATAATTGCTTTCCTGCTAAATTTTTATCTTCTCTTTGTTCTCTTATTTAATGTGAACATCTATAATTTCCGCAGGAAGGTTAATAATATCTAACGAATGTTTTTTTTCTCAATTATTCTTACAGACATATAAATTAGTCGATTGCATATCGGCACGAGCTCATATCACGACCGGTGCTCCTTTTCTCTTTCAGAAACTAGTAATAAACAGGCAAAATATGTAATCACGAAACCGGAGGCGGCATCTGGGCTAAACGTTAATCGATATCGTTCCTTTGGTCCATAACTCTCATTAATGGCGATTATACGATATTCCTCGTGGCGATAAGTGCCTCGTTCGTGCCGCTGTCATCTGTTGACCGTGTAATTGAATTCGCAATAAGACGGCAAGCGCAGACACAGAATCAAGAAAATTGCGAGCAAATTCCCATCGCGCGAAGCGAATTCATTTACATATTCCGAGGCTCCCTCCTCGAGTCAAGATACCCTTTGTATATTGCCGATTCAGGATAAAACCGCGAATATAATTCTAGATACTCTTCTAAATTATAAAATCAAAGACAGTCTAATTATAAAATCAAAGACTTGCAATTTATAGAAGGGTAGACAGTTTGTTTTTTAATATATTCAATTTCTTTCAGCACTAATTTCGTAAAGGTAATTAACATTATAGGAATAAATTTAATCAATTCTTGATTAACCCGTTCGTTCTCTGCACGAAACAAGAACAAAAAAGGTGAGTATTATATTAC